GTGGGAGATATTTTCTGAATATTATCACTGTGTCACAATACTACAATACTGTGATATTCAAATAAAGATAATGTTGAGAAATGTATATCACTGCAGGATAATACATTATTATTAGTTTACGATATATTTTACTGCGTGCAACAGGCTGATATTAAAACAAATCGTTTAAGGAGAGAGGATCTTACTTCTGACACGGGGTGTGTTTCTTGTGCTGTTGCAGGATTCGGATCCTCTGGTTCAGGCCGTCGTAGGAAACGGCTGCACGGTTGTTCCTCCCGGTGCTGTGGTCGTACAGCACCCACCTGCCCTCCCACTGCAGCGGGGCGAGGCAGGGCCCGGCCGCCTTAGTGATATTCAGCCTGGGGAGGCCGAGAACTGATGCTCCGGCCAGAACCACAAACAACAGACGGTGCATGACGACAGGAGAGTCCCGTTAGCTAGCCCCGTAGTTGTTATCGCTGACAGCGGGCTGCACCTGCGGCCCACAAGCTCTCTAGAATTAGCTGAAGGTTTTCCGGATGTGCCTTTCACAACAAAAGCACAGATTAAATGGAACTACAGGATTTTATTAGTCATATAATATTTTTTATATTATTTTATTGTGTTCCACTTAATATAGGTATTTGATATTTCTATGCACTTTTTAAATCTCTAGAAATGTTGGTGCTGACAAAAATGCTAAATAAATGTCTTGATGGCTTGCTTTGGTGCTACCATTTCAAAATAAGAAACCCCATTTTAAAAAGATCAAAATAAAAGCCAAGTCAATATAAATGTAGCAAATGACAAATATATTAAACCTACGGTATTAATAAGTTAAAAGTTAAAATAAATTGCTTTAATTTAGAAATAAAAACATTTAAATTACTTGATATTATTTGATTGTGATCCTCCTCTCCGCCACTAGAGGGCAGATGTTCCCAGCAGTGCCCATCTTTTGACGTCACACAACCAACATGGCGAAGAAACAACGTGGGAAAACAACTTCACAGTCAAAGACGGCGAATAACGAAAAACAGGAAGAAAATTTCACTTTAATGCTCGATTCCAGTGACGATGAAGCGCCCGAAGAGGTGACATTTGAAGACTCGAAGGCTCAGGCTCTACGGAGCATGAAACGGGCGCTGGATACAGCCAGGAGGTAGCTAACAGCCGGCTAACTAGCTCATGTGAACGGGGGAGACCATTAAACTAAATTACATCCAAAACAAATTAGTTTACTGTGTTTTCATGCTAATGGGTAGAATAAATACACAACAATGACCTATCCATGACATATTCTGATTTCTTCGGGGGAAATTTTCATATCGACCCGCAGAATGAGCAGCTGGTAATTTAACAGTGTATTTAAAGTGTATGGAATTGTTTCTCAATGCAACAAAACTACCACGGTACGTACGTCTGAGACGGCAGAAAAGCCGAGGGATTTTTGTAATGCGGCTCTGTTGTTGGTCTGTTTTTTTTGCCGATATGGACAGTGTCTCCCAACAATTCAGAATACCGGTAACACCGAATTAAAAAGTTGTTTAAAGCAGTTTCGTCCAGACGAAAAACCCTAATAATAAATGTTAAACATTAAACCAGTAATACAGCTATTTTTGGTATCATTCCATGTGTTTGGGTCAACGATGTATGTTCATGTTTGCAGGGAAAAAGAGCTGCTGAAGGAGAAGAGGAGGAAAAGGCAGGAGCTGTTCCAGGAACAGAAGGTCTGTGTGTGTTTTGATAAAACAATCTCAAAAACAAACCTTATTAACTGTTTTAATATCCCTGTGTAAGTTTGGCGTTTGTGCTTTTATGTATTGCAACCATAAACATGCTGTAAACAACTTTGAATAGGCTGTTTTTGTTCCTCTACATCTGCCCCACACATACAGTACAGTGTAATTCTCATACCAACGAGATACATGGTTCTGCTGTAATTTAAAAGGCAGTGGCAGGCAGTGGAAGGCAGTGTTGGACGGTGAGTCCACTTTGGTTCAGACTGAAATAGCTCAGCAACTATCAGACGGAGTAGCATGAAATTTTGTGCAGACATTCATGGTCCCCAGAGGATGAATCCTACTG